ATGTGTTGCGCCTACTGAATCAATGCTCACCTCGGATTACGGCGCTAGTCTCAGTAGAGATGCGGTTGAAGAAGGCTTATGGTAGCTACACAATGTGGTAGCAGTTGGGAAATGAAACACATTGTACAAATGAATATTTTAATGAGAAGTTTACAATATTTCAATAGTAATGTACAAAGTGTTGTAATAAAAGTTCCTCTGCGTTACATCCTTTGACATCTTCTTAAAATAGCACATACTTCAAGATTGATGTACACCGAATCACACTTCAAGGGTAGAGCGAAGTGATGTAATGCATCTATCACTGCACCTATCTAGGAATTTCCATTAGTCCATATTAACTAATTGATGAAGAGGTCTCAGACCTATTTGAAGAGGTGGTTCATTGGTTCTTTGTAATCTCTGCTTACGCACCCACTGACTGCAGTTCGGATGAAGTGAAGGACCAGTTCTATCGTAAACTGTCTAGCCTCCTCTCGAAAGCCAAACGTTCGGACGTGGTGGTTGTTGCAGATGACTTCAATGCACAGCTGGGTAGACTGAGTGAAGCAGAAAGGCACTTAGGCGGCACTTTCGGAATCCCGGCTGAACGTACAGATAACGGTGATCGCCTACTACAACTATGCTCAGATAGCCGCCTATTTTTAGCTAGCACAAATTTCAGACATAAAGAAAGGCACTGTCGGACGTGGCGTCCACCGAGCTCAACTCAGCGATGGACATAGATAGACCACATTGCCATCAATCATCGCTGGAGAGGATCGGTGGGAGACTGCAGCTCCTTCTGGAGTACGTAGTTGGACAGCGATCACGCGTCGATCCGACCGCGTATATGCCTGCGTCTCAATAGACGTAGGAAAAATTTGGCAACAAAGCCAATACGAGTGCTAGTGGACAACGAAAACAAAGCCATGTTCAGTGAGAAGTTGGCTAGGCAGTTATCGGGACAAAAGACTGTCACTCATCCAGAAGAAGCTTGGTGCCATCTTCAGTCTTCTGTAAAAGCAGTGTTGAAGACCGTAGACGACTCCGAAATAGTGGTTAAAAAGAGCCAGTGGATATCAGCAGCTTCTTCCTAACTAATGGATACCCGTGAACTCATCCCTGCAGGCTCTGGGTACAATGAAGAGCGAATGCAACTTATAAGTAGATTAAGAAAAATCCTATGCAGCCACTGCTAAGTGGTGAGAAGTGAAGGCTGAAGAGATGGAAGTGGCAGCGGCGATCGTTAATAGTAGACAGTTATTTAGACTTATTCAGGGGACTAGGGGAAGAGGTCAACAACAGTTAGTGAGACTATAGCGAAGGAGGACGGGTCGACCAAATTATCACACTGCGCGAGGTCCTGGAACACAGACATCCTACAGACGCCCGACAATAGTTGTATTTCTCGATCTGAAGGCGGCACTCGACTCCGTTGATTGAGGAGTCTTATGGCAGTGTCTCATTGAAAGGCGTGTCGAATAAGTTCATCGTTTTATTGAAGGCTCTCTACTCGAACACTTGTGGGGGTGTTAGAGCCTATGGTGAGATGTCCAGGGAGCTATGCTCATCGAGTTGTTTCCGCCAAGGGTGCCTACGGTCTCCATTCTCATTCAATTTTATTATCGATATTCTTATGGAGGTCTCCCTCTCGTCACCAGGTTACACAGATGTTAACCTAATCACAGGAGAATTTTCGTTAGACCTAGAATATTCAGATTACATGGTTCTGTTAGGTGAATACGCTGACAAGATGCAGAGTCTTCTGAACACTTTGAGTGTCAATTTGAGAATGTTTGGTATGAATTTTTCACCACCCAAATGCAAATGTTTGCTCCAGGATTGGTCGTCAACAGTATCACGGCTAACAATAGAGAGTGTAGTGGTTGAGTGTATCGACCACTTCACTTACCTGGGAAGTAGGATCGGCCCTTTTGGCTGGCTTAGTGGTCGATGAAATCTCTGCACAGATACAAAAGGCTCGGTTGGCTGGCTTTCGCCAACTTACGCCACCTGTGGCGCCGCCATGATATCTGATTGTCTACTAAGGGTCGCGTGTACTGCAGTCCGGTCTGTTCTACTGTATGTCTGTGAAACATGGCCATTGAAGGTGGAAGACATGATAAGGCTTCAGGTATTTGACCACCGTTGCCTTCGTAATATAAGCCGTATTTCGTGGTGTCACCACGTGAGTAATGCAGAAGTCAGGTATAGAATTTTAGGGAGTAGAGGTAAATCAGTTGACGTGGTTATGATGGTTGGGACACGTGTTACGTATGCCTAGTCACCAATTGCCTCGCCACACAATGTCAGCCGAAATAGGTCCAGGCTGGAGAAAGACTCGAGGTGGCCAGAATAAAACATGGCATCAATGCATAAAGTCTCTGACTGTTGGTTTAAGCCATGTGGGGCGATGCAGACTAAGTGGTTGGGGTCTGCGGGACAAGAGAAACCAGTGGCTGGAGACTCAAGGTGATGGCATGGTTGAGAACCGATGTCAGTGGCGCAGATGCATACATACATTATTCTTATCTTAACGACTCTATACCCAATCTCACCATTTTCTCATTCTTCCTTTCTCTCTTTTCGTACTTTATATTTGTTTTGACTGAATTTTTTTATCTTCATCTTGCAGTTCACTGCCTTTTTACATGATGTACTGATATGAGCTGTGGCAACTCGGACTGTTGGCGCAATAATGCCTGGTCCTATGTTGATATTGATGATGATTATTATTAGCTTAGGCACTTAACATTTGACCGGTAGGTCTGCGGTTCAGAACCCTCCCCAATTATTTCAACCTAGTTCAACTGGGTAGTATCGTTAGCTTTCATACAATAAGTACGGCTCGTATGTGCTGGGTTAATCTGAGTTACAGGTTTGTCATTTTCTGACTGATGGCTCTTCTGGCAACAGCGAAATACCCTACTGTTAATCAATTTACGATTATATTCAAAGGTAGTTTTCATCCCTAACCGACGTTAGTTGACAAACTATTAAGAAGCTAGACCTCTGTTTTGCTGCAGTTTGGGAATCCTCAGTAGTGTGCACCCACTCTTAAGGGGTCCAACCCAGAACTGTGAGGTGTAGTGGTGAGCACTTTTGTTTATATGTGCTACTTCTTGGAAAATCTGTCATATTCTTTTTAATTTCTTCACATTCCTGTTGATTTTAATTTTCTATGTCATTGTGAAATGTGAAAAATTTAACTAACACACTTTTGTGCGCAATTCTACTTCTTTATATTCTGTCTCACTACCAAACTGGTAATGCAGAGGCTGCTTTTTCGCATCTCAGCTGATGTAGGTTTTCTTGTGACATCAAGTACATAATAATAATAATAATCCCAAATAATTAGCAAATCCACCATCGTAGATTTTGTTGAGAGGGCATCATATAACGTTTAAGAACCTCAAGAATAATATAGAAGTAAAACTTGGGCACTATATTGGATTATAATTCCATTTTAGTTTAATTAGAAATGTCATACAGTGAAACAGTATCATTTACTGGATAATGTTTTGGACATAATTTATTGTCCACATTCATATCATGTAACTCTACAACTTTGAGACATAGTTTATAAAGTTCTAATCTTCTCTCCCTCTTTGCGATAAGGGTAGTAGAATTTTCCATATATTTGGGACAGGAGCAGAATTCTGTCGCATGGATTTGGTGTTGATTTGATGAAAAAATTCGGCCATCAATCTCTCCCTCCACCTAACTACGTTGTTTTTGATACTGTCGCTCTATCCCACCCTATTGTGCCACGGTGTGTAATTGCGTGCATAGCTGTGCTTTCTTCTGAATTTCTTACCTTATTACGATGTACTAACGTTGGTTTAGTCAGTATTTCGAGCTCTGTTATTCTGATGAACCGTGGTCGACTGTGACCTGTTGCGAGGTTAAATACATAGGTCACAGAGTCAAGTTCAGATCAGCTGAATCTAGCTACCTGACTTGAATTGACACCACAAAACATATCCTGTAGCCAGTCAGAAATCGACAAATTCCCTTCCCGTGTTACTTCGAAGTATATTTATTAGTTTAAGTGCATTTGCGGAAGCAGTTACATTGGGAGACCAAGGAGGTGGGGCATACCTTAGATTATTTGAACACGTATAGTAGTGAAGTCACTGGTGGTTGTGTCTGTTCAAGATATGAAACAGAGAACTCGCAATTCACCAAGGTAATCAGTAAAGAAAATAATTCAAACTCTCTGGATTTTCTTGAGGCTATCTACAGCTATCGAACGTTTAAAAAACAGGAAAGCTGTGGTCATTCTTGTTTATCATGGTAACTTAGTTTTTCCCTCTCTCTCTTATTTATTCACACAGTCTCCTGATTCAACATTTTTCTGTATGTACAAAGTTTCGATTACTATTTGCATCAACTTATTATATTATTACTTAATTTGTCTGTTACTTCAATTAGTCTTACTGTTAATCTTATGTTGTCCTTTATACTAAATACCCGAAATGCTCCCAACAACTTTGCGCATATTCATGCAGTAGGCAATGAACCACACCTTTCATGTGGGGGTTAATGATATCTGACTGCCCAAACCTCGGTAGATGGAGGGAGTTCGAACCCTTGACCCACTGGTTAAAGGTCAAGTGCCTAAACCAGTGAGCAACAGCTCCACATACTAAATACTAAAACACCTTGTTACTATGCCTATTTTTTCTCTTGAACCCTGTTGAATCAGACATACAACTGGAACTTCCTAGCATGTCTGGTTAATTTTCTCTGGATATTTGTATTCCTTATCAAAACCTTGTTGATTCCTCGTAACTAACTGCAAAAGGTATATACAAATCCCTTGATAAAGTAATGTTTATATGTTGTAAGCAGCTGACGAGAAATTGATGAAATAACCAATTGGATTCTAGTTATCCCGTTCTAGCATGTGTTCTTTCTCTACACATTTTCTCTGAAGTAATCTGTTCTGTGTTCACAAACGATGCAATATTATGTGTGAGTGTATGCGTACCTATATTTCTTATTTTCTCCGACAGCTGTATATCATAGACAAAAGCGTGATGATGAAGGACGTCGACTATCAGCTGTCCTTCAGACACTACTTCGAGATTGTATTGATTTGGACTCTCTGTGTATAGTTGCATGGGAACGTGTTTTCGCTATACGCGTGGAATTACGCGCTTTATCCTATGATGGAAACTTGGGAGATTGTGGTGCACTCGCTGCTGTTGCTGCATTGGCTGCTTTTCGTAGACCAGATGTTTTCGTCGATGACATGGGTAAAGTAAGTTATTCTCTGCGCAACTGATACAATCAGGCACTGAATGTTTTGTTTCAATCCTGGTTAAAGTTCGTTCCATGTATTATTTATTTTAATTAAATTCAAGGCATAGATATTCACCTTCGTGTAATATTCACCGTCACATCTATTCAACGAAAACAGGAAATACAATTTAGTTGCCTAATCCTGACCAAAGATTAAGGTAGTTAGGCGCCATGTCGTAGTGTAGAAATTTCATGGTCTAGAAGCGTTATATTCAGCGGAAAAGCGAACACTGTGGTTTGTGATAACTTAATCAACTTTTCAGTCTCCAACAATTCTATTCATTTAAGTAACGAACACAACACGATTAACCTAAAACTATCATTCAGTACAAAAGTAATAACCTTTCCGTTGGGTAGTCCATTGACGTGGGACTCGTAATTTGTGCGTTAGTTCCCTGCGTATCATGGTCTTTGGAGACGAGTTTTGAGAAGATGAAATTCTTTTCTATATCGCTATTTTCCTCTCTCATTCTGTTATTTGCGTAATATTTTCAAATGAATTTCTAAATTGTTTCTTACTGATGTTTGTTTTAATTAGGAGTCAAAGTAGTTGTTAGAAAGTTCATATATTGATCTAACAACACTCATGCTTCTCTTCTCTTAACCGCTCAGTAGAAATCGCATACCTGCTTATCTGCCTTACATGAACCTCCTATCTAAAGGCTGTATCATCTAGGATGGATACTTTGAAGTTATTACCCACTTTTTTGTGTCACTTAATTTCACCAGCCAGATCTCATTCTTTGGGTGTGCGTATACTCGTACGGTGAAAGGGATGATGGTCAGTGTGTCAGTATCAAACGTGATACTTTGAAAATGATAATCTTAAATCTATATTTTTTGTCTTTTGCTTCAAAATTTATTTCAGGTGTTAGTCGATTTCGAAGCCAAATTCCGATCTCGAGTACCTTTGAATGTTCGTCGTATCCCTGTGCTTGTTACACTTGGTTTAACCTCAGATGCTAAAGTGATTCTAGTTGATCCTACAGCGCGTGAAGAATTTATTCTCACTGGTGGACGTGTAATGCTTGGTTTAACAAGCTTCTCAGAAATTTGCTGTTTGTATACAACTGGTCTTTCTGTGCCTATTCAGTGTTCATCTCTTTCCAAGTGAGTATATACATATATGCATGTATTTCGGATAAATTCATTGATCTCTAAACAACTAAAAAACCGGGAAGCACTGAATTACTGTTTCTTTCTAGCTGGAGTCTCTTAAGTGATGCACGCTAACGATTTTATGTGAGAATCGTGCTCCAGAACTGTCAGCTTTTGTAGTGAGGATGCTACCATACTACATCTTAATACACAACATATCACAATCGTTGTGTTGCTAATGGTCATGCGCTCCCAAACCCTTTCTTCTTCCAACTACAGGTCATAACTTCCTACGGTTATTCCTGAAAGTGCATTTCCAAGCAATTCAACAATTAACAATGGATTGTTATTCAATTTGTTGGTTTTGCATGGGAGGGTGGGGGGAATTCTTGCACTAATTCCAGTTTTGTTTTGATAATGGTTTGATATCAGATCCCTTTCACTGATGTCCTTCCAGCAAACCTGTGTATGAAATTCAGTTGAAGATGATTGCCTCACTAGTTAAAACATAATGGCGTTTATTGTAAGAAGTTCACTGACAAAGACAATGACAAGATGACAACGGGAAATTGTATTCTTTGACGGTTCTTTTCAAAAATACGCAAATATGGTGATGATTATTACATATACCATCTCAATAAATACAAGCGCTTATTTTTAATTGAAAGGAAGATCGAGAGAAAAAAAATGTTTCCTTTCAATTAAGTCTCCAACCTCCATCAATCCGTCTTTTATTTTAGCCAGTTGAATCATGCGGATACATAACCAACACAACGTTAACACATACAGACGAATCAACGTAGAACCTGGGACAGGAATGCATAAGTTCAAGTTGCTTCACTTCTTATCATCATACAAAGAGCAGATGGATAGAAAAAGAGTGATATCAAAACAGACAAAGGTTTATGAACGAAGAAAGAGTTTGAAAATCAAGGTTAGTCAAAATGTTTGGAAGGCATAAAAAAGTGAATACATCAGCACCATTGTGACGAATTTTTAGCCATAATACCAAGATACTTCAACCAATTATTATTATTATTATCTGGACAACCCCAACGTGGAAGTCTCAACCATCCTACACACCCAAAACCAACAGTCAAAGACTTCATCAAGTGAAGTCACATCTTACTCTGATCATCCTTGGTCTGCTTCCAAACCAGTCCTCCCTCAGCTAACACTGCACGTCGAAGTATACAGTAACTCAGTGAGCGCAACACATATCCAAACCCTCTCAGTTGCTAAAGATTCACAACCCTATCATATCACGCCTTCCTGCTCTAGTACCCTTCATCTATCCTCAACCTTGCTCACATGATGTTTATTCCACCATACGTGAGCAATGTCACGAAAACACCTGTAGTTAATAACCTGAAATCTCTTCATAGCTTCCTATTTCATAAGTCATGTTTCACAGCTGTACAACAGAACAGAGCGGATCGAACCTCTGTATGCTCATCCTTTAATAAGTTATCAAATATCTCGCAAACGCTATAAGTGGTGTAGGCGAGTAAATTTCAAACAGACCTTTTGTATCCAAGCTGAAATTTCGCCACCATCAAACCAATTAGCGGTGCCTGCATAGAATTTTTCTGAATCTGCTTATAAGTTGCATTCGCTCTTCATTGTACCCAGAGCCTGCAGGGATGAGTTCACGGGTATCCATTAGTTAGGAAGAAGCTGCTGATATCCACTGGCTCTTTTTAACCACTATTTCGGAGTCGTCTACGGTCTTCAACACTGCTTTTACAGAAGACTGAAGATGGCACCAAGCTTCTTCTGGATGAGTGACAGTCTTTTGTCCCGATAACTGCCTAGCCAACTTCTCACTGAACATGGCTTTGATGTTTTCGTTGTCCACTAGCACTCGTATTGGCTTTGTTGCCAAATTTTTCCTACGTCTATTGAGACGCAGGCATATACGCGGTCGGATCGACGCGTGATCGCTGTCCAACTACGTACTCCAGAAGGAGCTGCAGTCTCCCACCGATCCTCTCCAGCGATGATTGATGGCAATGTGGTCTATCTATGTCCATCGCTGAGTTGAGCTCGGTGGACGCCACGTCCGACAGTGCCTTTCTTTATGTCTGAAATTTGTGCTAGCTAAAAATAGGCGGCTATCTGAGCATAGTTGTAGTAGGCGATCACCGTTATCTGTACGTTCAGCCGGGATTCCGAAAGTGCCGCCTAAGTGCCTTTCTGCTTCACTCAGTCTACCCAGCTGTGCATTGAAGTCATCTGCAACAACCACCACGTCCGAACGTTTGGCTTTCGAGAGGAGGCTAGACAGTTTACGATAGAACTGGTCCTTCACTTCATCCGAACTGCAGTCAGTGGGTGCGTAAGCAGAGATTACAAAGAGCCAATGAACCACCTCTTCAAATAGGTCTGAGACCTCTTCATCAATTAGTTAATATGGACTAATGGAAATTCCTAGATAGGTGCAGTGATAGATGCATTACATCACTTCGCTCTACCCTTGAAGTGTGATTCGGTGTACATCAATCTTGAAGTATGTGCTATTTTAAGAAGATGTCAAAGGATGTAACGCAGAGGAACTTTTATTACAACACTTTGTACATTACTATTGAAATATTGTAAACTTCTCATTAAAATATTCATTTGCACAATGTGTTTCATTCCCTCTTCTTCTTATATCTCGTTTTGCTCTTTATATGCCCACATTATCTCTTGCGTTTCTCTGGGCAGAATATTTACCCATTGCTCGTAAGTTGCCTATGACTTCTGCCAATCTCCCAACACATACTACTTATATCGGATCTTATCAGTAGCACCCACTATACTATCACACAGAACAAAAACAACCAAAATAGAATATGGCGCACAAGTATATCACCTCAGCTTGTCACACTTAACAGCAGCACCCAATGAACATGTGGGGAAAGAAAGAGTGAAAATGAAGCACACAAGAGTGTATGGGACGATAGAGAAGAAATAAGTGGGGGTTAGTGAAAGTGATGAAGTCTTAGAAGCCGTCAGAGAGTGACTACATCTCCGTCACTCTTTCCGTTTTTAAGTCATGTTACTAAGAGCCTCCAACTATTGGTCACTCCTCTCTAGGGCCTCAACCGGGTAAACTAGCTTAGACAATTAGCCAAAGACTTCCCAACTGCTACCACATTGTGTAGCTACCATAAGCCTTCTTCAACCGCATCTCTACTGAGACTAGCGCCGTAATCCGAAATGAGCATTGATTCAGTAGGCGCAACACATATCAAATTCATGACACTCGATTAAACATCACATCATAGACAAACTTGCTTGCCTTGCATAGTACCCTTCATCTATCCTCAACCTTGCTCACATGATGTTTATTCCACCATACGTGAGCAATGTCACGAAAACACCTGTAGTTAATAACCTGAAATCTCTTCATAGCTTCCTATTTCATAAGTCATGTTTCACAGCTGTACAACAGAACAGAGCGGATCGAACCTCTGTATGCTCATCCTTTAATAAGTTATCGAATATCTCGCAAACGCTATAAGTGGTGTAGGCGAGTAAATTTCAAACAGACCTTTTGTATCCAAGCTGAAATTTCGCCAGCAGCAGACCCGTTTGTGTTGATGCAACATCCCAGGTAAGTGAAGTGGTAAACACGTCCCACCACTTCACCCTCTATCCGTTGATGAGCGGTCGATGCAGACCAGTTCTGAGGCGTCATCTCAGATTTGAAAGGTACAAAACGCATGCCAAAACATACTCGGAGTTTTACCTAAGGCATCTAGAGGACCTTGCACCTTATTGGTGTTTTCACCTAACAGGACTATGTTGTCTACCACCTCCAAGTTAATCTAGTGACCTTCTGCCGTCATTCCGTGAGACGTTAAGGATATTTAGGGTTACCGCACTCAACACATCTATAGTCCACTTAAATAAGAGTTGTAATAATGGGTATTACTGGATGTGGTTGCTTATAACGACAGCTCTTCATGAGGCTATACACAGCTGTGTGACTTCTAGTGACGGGCTTCGACTAACATAATATTTTTGCTCAGAATTCCTTTCACATCCTTTCATAGGCGTTTATCATTGTTATTTGTCCTTTTGGTTCCTAATGGAACATAGTGCTTCTGTAGCGCGTCTCCATTCCACTCCATTCTCTGTAGTTTTCCGAACCTTGGACCACGACTGCCCACAGGCTATCATTTCTTCTTCATGTGATCTTTCTATATGCGCTTCAGCTAGGACCCCAGTTCGTCGTTTCCCGTCTAAGTTTCACTCAAGGGCCTGATGCGTGATGTCCCCAGTCGCCCTTCTCGGTTTATGCCTAGTCGAATCCATCTCCACGTGTGTGTGCATATTTGTTGGGCATGGGTTCTCCGTTGGTTCGTTGCCAGAGTTCCTTGTTGCTTATTCTTTCTGGCAATCCATCAGATCTTCAGTAAGGAGCTAACGTAGGCTGTTGTTGATGAATGTCTGCAGTTTGTTGGAAACGCCTTTCGTAACGCGCTAAGTCTCTTAGCCATATAGCAGCACTGACTTGACGTTGGTGTTGAAAATCCGGATCTTGTTCCATTTGCTGAGTGCAGGTTTCAGGCTAATGAAAGCCTGTCTTGCTTTTCCGGTTCTGACTTTGACATCCTCATCTGTGCCGCCTATAGTTGAGACAGTGCTTCCTAGATAGGTGAAGGAGGCTACTTCCTTTAAGTTCCTCCCGTTGATGGTGATTGGAGCTTGTTTTTGTTCTTGGAGTTGTTGGTGCGGTATCTTCATCACTTCTGTCTTCTCTATATTCACCTGAAGTCTCGTCCTCGCTGTCCTGCCCTGCCTCTTCTGTCAACTTGTTAGTTTTCGCCTGTAGATCTTCAAGTTTGTGTGACATCAGACACAAGTCATCCGCGAAACCCAAGTCTTCTAGGTTCTTTTCCGCAGTCCAGCGTATCCCCCTCTTCTCATAGCTCAGGCTTCAGGCGTCATTAAAACCAACTCGCAAATGAAATGAAAACCCCCATTTTACCTACCAGTCTAAAGCGACTGTTCCAGTTGAAGCTGACAACCAGTAGCGACTATGTGTAGAGGTGAAAAACGTTCGTTTTTAAAATAATTAGGGAAAATATTGTTGATAGATAGTGGCTGACAGTGAAGTTCTAGACGCGCATTTACTCCTATTTGTGACTCGTCAGCTGGACGTACTTGCACACAATTTAGTATACTGCAATGTTAGTTCAGGAGGCGATACTTGTTAGTACTCCAAAGTTGACGTTGTTTGGCTTCATTGTCGTGATATTAGGAATTAAGATTAGGGGTCCTGTAAAATCCAAGGACAGTCAATCAGTATTCACATCAGACAATCAACAATATTATTAGAGAAGATGCACAAAATGTGTACAAAAGGATAAAAAAAACGAAATGTTATTTTGAATCAAATTGGTTTATAAATAGTTCCGTTAAGTCTCCACATAGCCGCCCCCGTGTAAATCCACAGGAAGTGTCTACGAGAAAGAAAACAAATCTGCACACACGGCCAAGCCAAAAATACGTACAGAAAAAAAATATACACTCAGTTCTTGCCTAAAAGTGTACTACTGAGCAAACAAAATTATTACGGATAATTACAGCTAATGATTATAATCATTTCAAAACATACACATTTCTTGAACGACTTATGAACGACAGAAAAATCTGATATATATTGATATAAGTGAAGTTAGGAGTGCGAGAAGTATGGGTTGTATTTGACAATAATAAGCGCCATGTATATCTATCAGTAAAATTGATGCAAACTAATATAACATTATTTATTTATTTGTCTAATGGATTCCTAGTGGAACATAGGGCTTCAATTGCACGCCGCCATTTCACTCTGTTCTCCGCATTCTTTTGAACTTGGCTCCACCACTGCCCACAAGCTTTCATTTCTTCCTCATACGACCTCCTCCATGTCACCCTCATCACGGACACCCAACTCGTCGTTTCCCATTTGGGTTCCACTCAAAGGCTTGTGTTGGCGCGTGATGCCCCCAAACTGTCTTCTCAGTGTATGCCCAATCCAATCCATCTTCTGCATATCTGTTGGGCGATAGGTTCTTGGTTGACTCGTTGCCAGCCACCCAGAGTTCCTTGTTGGTTATTCTTATTATCCTGGCCATCTGATCCCCATCTTGAGTATCGAGTGAGTGTAGGTGGCAGCTGTTGATGAATGTCTGTAGTTTGTTGGAAATGTTTTTCATGACGCTCCAAGTTTCTGAACCATTACACAGAAGAACTGACTTGACTGACATTAGTGTTGAAAATCTGGATCTTGTTCACGCTTTATGCTGAGTGCAGTGCAGTGCAGTGCAGTGTAGTGTAGTAGATCTCCACACTGATTTCAGGTTAATGCGGGAAGGAGTGTCTTGCTGTCTTTCCGATCCTGGCTGGCTGGCTTTGACGTCCTCATCTGTGCCTGTACCGCCTGTTGTTGAAACGATGCTGCCTTGCCTGGAAAGGTAGGTGAAAGAGACTACTTCCTTTAGGTTCCTCTCATCGATGGTGCTTGTTGTTGTTGTTGTTATTGGTTGGGTGTCTTCATCACCTCTGTATTCTCTACGTTCACCTAAGGTCCCATCTTCTTTCGCCGCCCTGCCTCTCCTGTCAACTAGTTGGTTTTTACCTGTAGAGTTTGTGCGACAAGACATTAGACATAAATTATCATTGGAGAAATCCAAATCTCTCAGGGTCTTCTCATCGGTCCAGCCAGCATACGCCCCTCTTCTCGTTCCTCACAGTTTGTTGTATTATCCAGTCCAGTCCAGTCCAATACAGTCGAGTCGACCACAGTCAGGAAGACCATCAGTGATAGTAGGCGGCAGCCTTGTCTTACTCCTGTCTTCACTTCAAAGGTGTCACTGAGCTTTCCGATTGTGAATCACGTGGCATGTGGCTTCTTCATATACCTGTTGATTGAGGTTGATGAAACTTAGTGGCATTCCGCAGTGTTGAAGCAACTGCCTGCCGAATTACTTCTCGGTCGACTCTGTCGAAAGCCTTTTCAAAGTCGATGAAGTTGAGGAAGGGAGTTGACTTCTAATCCATACTCTGTTCTGCGATGGTGCGTAGCGTAGCTTTGCAATTTCATCTGCACATGATTTGTTCTTGCTGAATCCATCCAGCCAGCCTGTTCCGGTTGTAATTTTGAATCCAGAGCATGTTTCAGTCTCTCCAGTATGATGTGGTTTATTATTTTGCTTGCTTGGTGCGGATATGAGAATGAATCCTCTGCTGTTATTGCAAAGACGTAGGTCTCCCTTCTTTATAAGTTTGACAAGGCAGCCTTTCTTCGGATCTGGACGAGTTGCAGGTGGTGATAGTAGTTGTAGATTCAACAGCTTTTTGAAGTGGTCAGCCCGTCAGCTCCTTTGTTTCTCCTCCTTCATAACTAGCTTCCCTTCACCATCTTTCATTGGTTTCATCTGTGTTGATCTCTCCCACCCCAGACAGTAAACCGGTTATTTAATATAATGTTATCAGGTCTCGGTCTCCAATACAAGCAGACTGTTCTGCTTCACTTGCCAATGTGTCATAGAAGTGTCTTTTGTCCTTCCGCACACTCTTCTCCACTCCTTTGTCCAGTGTAGTGTTTTGTAGGTTGTGTTCAGTTCTTCTTTTCGTTGTTCGTCCCTGCACTGCACAACAGTGCACTGGCTCATCTTCTGCTTCAACATCGTCCTTTCCCTTCCTTTCTCCATCAGCTTCCATGTGTCCGTCGACATCCATTCCTTATCTTGGCGCTTCTCCTCCTTCCTAACACGGTTATGCAGGTTTCTTTCCATATCTCTTTCACAGATTTCCAGTGTTCTTCCTTGCCCGATCCTTCAGGGATGTTGCTCCCATTTCGTCCTGATGACTGACCAACGTGAAGATGTTCTTTGTAGTTTCGTCCTTCAGTTCAGTTTGTGTTCTGGGTGTTGAACCCCGACTGTGGTCGTCTATCGCTAACGTCTTTGAAGTCTTTCAACTTGATTTTGAAGGTGGGTTTCTTGCATCAGATAGTGAGTGATGTGAGCCTACGTCTGCTCCCCTTCTTGATCTGATCTTGTGTCCAGTAGGCTGACTGCGTCTCCACTTTCTTCACATTGAGATCAAGTCGATCTGGTTTCTAGTGTGTCCATTTGGTGAGACGCATGTCGCTCGCTGCCTTGTGAATATCCCTGTGTTTGTACACATTGCCTCACTCCAATCACCGAATTGTTGAATGCGCAGAAGTCTGCAAACAGTTCTCCATTCTCACTCATCATTTCACCGAGTGGTGCATCTCGACCCATGGTTAGCTCTCTTCCTGTGTTGTCTGCTCCCAGTTTGGCATTCATGTCGCCCATCAGAATGAGTTTTGATGTCGCCATCTGAGGTGGGTGGGGTCGTGTCCAGCACTGATTGAAGTTGTCTATAGAATTCCTCCTTCTTCTCTTCATCTGCATTATTTGTAGGTGTGTAGTCTAGCGTAGCATTGTATGATAGTGAATTCCCTTCCTTTTGAGTTGAATCCATCTTGCTGTCATGATGTTGATCCTGCAGGAGGAGATTGGTTCCCACTGCATGAGAGAGAGAGCCTTCAATGCTGTTCAAGGGGACATCATGCTCGTCACTCCTAAACTCAGTGTGTTCATTGTTGTCGTCTGGGTGACAATATCGGAGTAGGTTATTGACTCTCCAGTTAAGAGTTTGGAGAGTCGATTTGCATTCCATCTGCTTATCCCTCACAGATTCCTAGCACTTCCATGCCATACCTCCTCATCTCTTTGGCAATCTGGGCTGCCTTGCTGGGTTCACACATAGTGTGGACATTCCATGTCCCCATGTTTACTCTTTTGCTTTCATGGAGAGAAGACACATCGTCCAACTGGCTTCCCGAAGGCCTTCACCAACTGGCGTCACTTCGCCTCTCAGGTTCCAGTGGGGAATAAATTTGTTTTTATTTTTTATATTTTCTTTGTGCTTCGAAGTTTATCTAGCGATTGGATTGATTTTCTGGTGTAGGGTTGCTAGCAGTATGCCCAGCCTTCCCTCCTTATCCATGCTAAGGACCAGCTAGTTACTGGTGAACTAGGTAACTAGGCGAGGTTTAAGATAAACATATTAAGTATATATGTACAACTGGATTTAGAAAGATGAATGCTAGCTTAGTAGATTGGAAAGAGATTCCCTCTATCAGTAAGTTTTAGGATTCCTTTTATGGTAACAAATTATTTTAAGTGCATTTGCTCTTCTCCTTGTAATTAAGTTGTGTATATAGTTTATTTAATGATACGCTTTTCGTACTTTGTTAAATATACTGGCTTGCATAGCTGTTTTAAATGTTGATATTTGCTACTAATTTCTCTCTGCATTTTGTTTAGATGTATTCGCCTGGCCAATACTAAAGCTAAAAGTCTTGTACCACTGTTGAAGTGGGTTTTAGAAGGTTTATCTGCTCAACGAGAGGCGAATTTCGCTGCTTCTCATGCAAGGTCTAGTGAAATCAAAGCAGATTTACAAACAACACTAAATGCTCCTTTGGTTCTGTCTACTACATCGTTTTTACTGGATCAGAGTAATCATGTTAACGGTGAGTCTGGTATTTACAGAGAGGAAGGAGAAATTCTACCTGATGATGGTGGTTCTTATTCAGATTCAGACACTGATATGGAGCTAGTTAGTTCTGATGGAGATGAGAATCAGACTGTATTAGCTGCGAATGTAAAAGGTAATCAGCGTACAACAAAATTACTGCCCTATGGTGTAATTGAGGTATGTAGTAGTATCAATCAGATTGAAAATACGACCGTATCAGACTCATCTGAAAATGAATTATATGAATTCGATTCTACGAGTATGTTTACTGCAAGTTCTGTTGTCCGGGAGACTCCGAATGAGACCATTTCGGAAAGGTTTACTGAGTTTGGTGATGCGATAGATAATGCATATGCCAATTCTACTGATGATGAAGAGGAAGATGTGGTCACTGTTTTAAACCTTGCATAACACCTGAACTTTTTGTATCTCTTGTACAGTTTGCTTTATTAATAAAGTGGTTTTTTAAACCCTTCTGTCTGTCGTTTTACTTTGAAGATTGGTAGTATTCAGAAGTGATTCAAGTTGCTGTGAACTTGTTTAGGTTATTGACATTTCTTTGTTGCGTATATTGTAATAAATCAATTCACAGAGTTCTGGGATAAGGAAGTGAATTGGTCTTCATTGTATCATACAGAACCATAATCAGGGAGCCCATTGAGCGAGTACTTGTAACTAGTTGCATCTAATCTTCTCGCTGGTGTTTAACGTTAGTTTTGCATGATTGGGTTTGTTGTTGTGCGCCCCTGAACCCTTTAAGGTGACGAAGTATACCGTTTGTTTTTGAACCGATCTTTACTAGCTTCTATTTCGACTGGATGCACAGCACTAGTTTCCTCATTTTGTTATAATCTTGATCGATAGGCCATATAACCTCATTGTAGGACTCATGGTTATCTGTTCAATCTCTTAACACCTACTTTCTTTTTATTTCATTGTTTTACTTAATCAAACTAACAAAATCAACGTAGAAGCTCGCATACAAGTCCATGGGTTCTAGTTGCCTAGTATATTGACCTGAAGTCAGAATTTGACTCCGTTGACCGTGAGGTATTGCGGCAGTGTCGGACTGAAGGGAGTATCTAGCTAGGATATAACACTAATCAAAGCTGTTTACTCAAAATCACGCAACTATGTGGAGGCTGTTATGTGGATTGGCGACAACTGGTGGTGTCCCCCAGGGATATCCACTGTTACCATTCCTATTTAACTTCGTCATAGACCTTAGGTACGTCTAACTTCACACTGATTAATCTACTTCCTGGAGGTCACCTGGTTGACTTGGAGTATAGACACGATATTGTCCTGCTAGGTGCAGATGCTGATAGAATGCAGGTAGAGTCTTGTGAACGCGTTGAGCAGAAATATGAGGATATTTGGTATGTGTTTCGCAACTTCTAAATGTATATGATGCTTTAGGACTGATCTGCAACCGCTCTCAGTTTAATGATGGAGTGAAGTGGTGGAATATGTTGACCACCTCACTTACTTGGGAAGTGAGATAAGGCCGAACGGGGAGGTTAGTTACGAAATTTCAGCTCAGGTACATAAAGCCCAATTGGCATTTACCAGCTTGTGTCTTCTATGGCGCCGGCTTGCGAGATATCCAACTATCTATCAAAGGACGAGTATATTGCGCTGCAGTCCGTTCTGTTATGTTATATAGCTGAGACATGACCGTTAGACGTAGAAGACATGAAGCGATTACAGGGTTTCGATCATAGATATCCTCGCAGCATCGCTCACTTTTGATGGAATCACCATGTGAGCAATGTTGAGGTCAGGCGAAGCGTAATAGGCAAGTCGATTGATGAGGTTGTGAACCTTAGTCAACTGAGATGGTTCGGATATGTACAACGCATATCGAGCCACTGCCAACCTCGACGTGCTTTGCTGTGGAAGCTGAACTTGGTTGGAAGGGTGGCCAGACCAAAACGTGACACCAGTCGATGAGTTCTCTTACTGTTGATCTGAGCTGTGTATGACTACCTGGTTGGGATTTCCGAAACGAAAAGAATCACTTGTTGAGGAGTCTTGGTGACATGGTTGAAAACTGGCTGCAATGGCGCAGATCTATTTACTCCTCGACATCTTCGAAAGCTTGAATATTCGCACTAACCTTTACCTTCAGATTGTTTATCCTCTCACATAACCTTGTCTACTTAAATATCACTCTTATTCTGTTCACCTGTTGTTTGTACACTACTGTGGAGTGTAGCAGCTTGAGCCGATGGACTTGTGTGCGACGTCGTCAGCCAGTCAGTAATCCAGCTTCCGCTAGCATTACATATCGAGGTAAGCAGTTCCTCAGCATGCTCATAGCATGTCCAAACCATCTCAGCCGACCAATATCCACAATTTCGTAAGTCTACTAAGCTGTCTTGCTTAATACTCTTCGTCTGACCCCAGCATTTCTCATGTGCCAACTTAAGACAATTTTGAGAATCATTTGTGTTCGCGTTTTTAAAATAGCAATTCAACTTCTCATCTGTGTACAAGCTTACATACTGGGTTATGAGAAACACTTGATGTGTGGAGAATCACGATACTACTGTTATGATTTGGAAACTGCTGTGTGCTATGGCCGCTAACGATGCACAGATATTGACTGTCAACCACCAACATTCAACAAATTCCTAGTTGATTCCCGACCTGACTTATTAGTGGAGAAGACACGATGGACGTGTAGAAGCGCGAAAGACCCAAACAAAGGAAATACAGCTAATATATAGATAGTTCACCGTTTGAAATAATAATATTGATTGGCTGATCCATCTCCTGTCTGTCTAACTATAGACGTGAAAACATAAAGTATATTTTGATTGATCGCTCTCTGGACTAGGCTTTTCTCTCCATCCCCATATCAAGATTAATAACAATGTTTTATGCAAAACTAGGGCCTCACAACAACTACCCAGCAGCATCACTCTCCAGAACTCTGGAATCTCGAAGCAGTGATACATTCTTTGTTTCTGAGACACGTATGCAGGGACCGAGCGGTGTTACTAAATTGACTTCACCTGACCATAGTAGGAAGTTTTGAAAATTCACCTTAAGAGTATCCGGAGACTCAGCAGTTAACTCTCGTAAACTCGCTAGTGTAGGCACAGTATTTAGTTGTAGAGTATAAAGCGAACTTCGTCTTTGGATATCAGTCAACAGCCATCTGTGTGGATAGGTAAGAACTGGGAAGAGACTTGGCGATAAGTACTTATAATCTTCACTAACTGACTACAGTTCGGATGTTACAAAGGATGATTTCCATGAAAAGTTTTCTACAGAAAGATAAATGTTAAGATGTAATCAGAATGACAGATGGATTTAACGCTGAATTAGGAGAGCTGAGCCAGTCGGGAAGGGATCTTTGAAGTATCTGCAGAATCCGATAGCAACGAACCGACAACGGTGGTCATCTGTTGCAATTTTGTTCTGATAATCACTTGTTTCTGACCAACCCTAACTTTAAGCATAAGGAGGAAGAGACACTGTTCCTCCGATATGAAACAAACGATGGACACAGGTCATCTTGCTATAATCCTTGGTGTGAGAGGATTGGTGGAGAATTTTCGTTCCTTCTGGAGTACTTGTCTGGACTCCTATCACACGGCCACGTGTATATCTACGCCTTACTGGTTGCTGGAAACAGAAGGACCTGAAGCTTGTGTTGGAGTTTGGAAGATGAGAAGTGTAAGTACGTATTTAGAGAGAAGATAGCTACGCAGTTATGTAAACATGACATCAATTCTCATCTGAATGAAGCCTGGCTTGATGTTCAGTTTGCTATAGAGACAATGGTAAATACGATTCATTCAGCTGTGGCTAGCAGAAGAATTCGGGACACGAGTTGACGGTTTACCACTCAAAGTTTTCTAAGTATGGAGGCAGGAAATTACCGATTAAAATAACGGAGGTACTAGAGAGTGTATGTGAATCAGAGAGACTGAAGTGGTAGAATGCGTCCAATACTTACTCGGGAATATACATAAGCCCGATCGGGCTGGTTGCTGACGAAGTCGCAGCTTGGATACATAAGGCTAGTCTGGTATCTTCCCACTTGCGTCATCTGTCGTGCCGGCAAGATATCCGACTGCCGGTGTGCAGTGCTGATGGGAGCTAGATGACTCCTAGTCTGAGTTGTGTAGGGGTATAGACGACTAGGCTGGGGTTCCTCTAGATGACAGGAATCAGTGGTTCAGGATACTTGATGAAATGTCTGAAAATCAGTCACAATGTAGCAGATATATTCACTTTTTTACGTCTTTTGGAGCTTGGACATTTTCACTAACTCTGATTTTCCAAACCGTTTTCCTCGTATACACCTTTGTCTGTTTTGATATCAGTCTTTTTCTATGCACGTGTTCTATGCAGGCTAGTGCGAAATATGCAGCGAGAACCCATGGACTTGTGTGTGAGATCCTACTTTGATTGTTTTGTTTGTCTGACACTAGCTAATTGATAAGCACAATTGAGCTATGTGAACTGAGTTGGTTTAAATGATTCATCATTGTGATTCAACTTTCTCCGTGTACGCTGCTCGTGAGCTCGACTCAAAATGATTGTAATACCGTTTGGTGCTGAGATCACTATTATCTGGTTAGGGAAACGTATCTATCACAATTACCCAACGAACTATGCTGGTGGAACACTGGTTCTCATGAGGCCCTTCCATGTCAGATAGATCTGTTGGATAGAGATGCAGTTACCGTTAAATTATAAGTTACTAAGATAGACTGGGGTTTGAGCGCGAATTCGTCGTACTAGCTGGGTAGAATTGTGGCTGCAGTAACGTTTTTCCCGTGGATGACCGCAAGTACCATGCTCATGCTACCTCCCCTTTGGATAGAAGAGAAGTTTATTACAGCTTGACCCCAAAAGTAACACACCAACTTCTACCCTCCTGTATTCCGGTGCCGCCGGTGTAGGTTTTAGTTGGATTCAAAACAAGCAGACAGATCTGAACCGTGAACTTCTAACAAGAAGCTGTGTAAATGGCTACAAGCAGATGTCCTTTGCGTCGTGTGATGACGCACCACTATTACTAGCCAAGCTTATTTGTCAAGTATGCGAATGTATAGCCCTAAATTGACGTGGAAAAAAATTACAGCTACAAAAGCATAGCTGGAAGATGAGGATCCTAAGGTTGTCTTCAGTGAGTAACTGACTAGATAGTTATCGCAGCATGACACGTTCACTAATCATGTAACTATCATAAGTTTGTTGTGGAAACAGCCTTAGAAACTGTAGCTGACTTTTAGAAAGATGTTGACAAAAAGTCACTAGATCTTGGTAGCATCCGAATTCATAGATGTACGTAAATGCATTCCCGCAGGCTCTGAGCACAATGGGGAGCGGAAGCAACTCAAAAGCAGACTAAGATAAAGCTTAGCTAAGGGCCACGAACAGTGGTAGGCAGCGATGGTTATACAGATGGAAAAGGGAGCGGTGAGAGGTAATAGTAGATTATTATTATTATTAT